GGTGTTGTTGAGGAGATGGCAGCACACACCTGTCACACACAACAGCAGTGAGGCCACCTGACCCAGCAGGAGGGCTCGCCATATTGACCTGTGGGAGGAGACAACAAAGGTCAGGGGTCATCCATTACTCAGGTCAAGAGATCATCTAGTCTTCATCCACCAATAGATTAGAAGTAAGCCGCTTTTCATCCATCAATATTCAGAAGTCATCCACTCCACCAATAGGCCATGAGATCAACCACATTTCATCCACCAACAGGTCATAAATCATCCACTCTTCATCCACCAACAGGTCATAAATCATCCACTCTTCATCCACCAACAGGTCATAAATCATCCAATCTTCATCCACAAATTGGCCACAAGATCATCCACCAACAGGTTAATGATCATCCATCCACAAGTCATCCACACACACACAGATCAAAGGGTTACAGACATACACTACAAAAGTCACAATACAAAGGCAAGATTCACAGACCATTATGTAATTACAGTGAAAATACAAGACGGTGTTCCATTACAAAACATTAAATCATCCTAGACAGCGTTAAGCCGGGATAATACGTAATTAGTTCAGTCTTTGTACCTGTAATTAGTTCAGTCTTTGTACCTGTAATTAGTTCAGTCTTTGTACCTGTAATTAGTTCAGTTTTTGTACCTGTAATTAGTCTGCCTTAATTCAGTTCAATCTTTGCAAATTAGTTCAGTCTTGTACCTGTATGTCAGTCTTTGTACCTGTAATTAGTTCAGTCTTTGCACCTGTAATTAGTACCTTTGTACCTGTAATTAGTTCAGTCTTTGTACCTGTAATTAGTTCAGTCTTTGTACCTGTAATTAGTTCAGTCTTTGTACCTGTAATTAGTTCAGCCTTGCACCTGTAATTAGTTCAGTTTTTGTACAAGTAATTAGTTCAGTCTTTGTACCTGTAATTAGTTCAGTCTTTGTACCTGTAATTAGTTCAGTCTTTGCACCTGTAATTAGTTCAGTCTTTGCACCTGTAATTATAGCCATCAGCGTCTATAACTACACTACAAAAGGCTTAAGCTCGGTCGGCTGGTTATGTGTTTCAAGAGTTATATTATACATGGTTATAGAGAGAGGAGGAAGAGGAGGTGGTGAGGGAAGAGGAGGAGGAGGTGAGGAGGTAGGGAAGAGGAGGAGGAGGAGGGAAGAGGAGGAGGGAGGAGGAGGTGAGGAAAAGGGAAGAGGAGGAGAAGGAGGGGAGGGGAGGAGGGAGGGGAAGAGGAGGAGGAGGTGAGGGAGGGTGGTAAGGGAAGAGGAGGGAGGAGGTGAGGGAAGAGGGAGGAGGTGAGGGGAGGGAGGAGGAGGAGGAGGGGAGGGGAAGAGGAGGAGGAGAGGGGAAGAGGAGGTGGAGGTGAGGGGAAGAGGAGGAGGAGGTGAGGGAAGAGGAGGTGGGAGGGAAGAGGAGGTGGTGAGGGGAAGAGGAGGAGGAGAAAGAGGGGAGAGAGGAGGTGAGGAGAGGGAAGAGGAGGAGGAGGGAGGGGAAGAGAGGAGGAGGGGAGGTAGGGGAAGAGGAGGAGGGAGGGAGGGGAAGAGGAGGTGGAGGTGAGGGAAGAGGGAGGAGGAGGAGGGGATGAGGTGGTGGAGGAAGAGGGAGGAGGAGGTGGAGAGGAGGTGGAGGAAGAGGAGAAGGAGGTGGAGAAGAGGAGGAGGAGGTGAGGGAAGAGGAGAGGAGGTGGAGGGGAAGAGGAGGAGGAGGTGAGGGAAGAGGAGGAGGAGGTGAGGAGGGAAGTGAAGAGGAGGAGAGGAAGAGGAGGAGAAGGTGGTGAGGGGAGAGGACGAGGAGGAGGAGGAGGTTAGTGAGGGAAGAAGTAGGGGGGGAAGAGGGGGAGGAGGAGGAGGAAGAGGAAGAGGAAGAGGAAGAAGAAGAAGAAGAGCAGACGAAGGAGGAGGAAAGGAGGAAGAGGAGGAGTGTCTAAGTCTTCTCCATTGTTATTGTTTCACGGGATGAGACCAGACCAGAACCCCCCACCCAGCTACTTCTGTGTCTGACAGTCTCTCTCCCAATCACCTACCATTCCCTTTCTTTCCACCATTCCCTCATTCCTACATTTCTTTCTCCCCTTTCTAACCACTTCTCCCCTTTCTCATTCCTCACCACCATCAAATCTCCTTCCCATACCTATCCTCCCCACCCATCTCCCCATACAACCCTTCCACACTAACCCATTCTTCACCCTTTCTCCTTCTTCCACCTGCACCCACCCACCCACCCACCCACCGACACCACCCACCCACCCACCCAACACCACCCACCCACCCACACCACCCACCCACCCACACAGTCAGGTTTAATTAGCTTTAATAATATTTACCATCAGAACTTAACAAAAACCATTACAGCTTTTTATATACCTAGAGAATATACCCTATAGGAGAATATACCTATTGGAGAATATAACCTATAGGAGAATATACCCTAATGGAGAATATACCTATAGAATATAAGGAGAATATACCCTAGAGGAGAACAATCTCCTAGAGGAGAATATAATTCTAGAGGAGAATATACCTATAGGAGAATATAATTCTTAGAGGAGAATTATACCCTAGATACCCCGAGGAGAGGAGAATATACCCTATAGGAGAATATACCTTGTGAGAATACAACTCTGAGAATATAACCTATAGAGAATATAACCTAGAGGAGAACATCTCAGAGGAGAATATACCTTATAGGAGAATATAACCCTAGAGAGAATATACCCTAGAGGAGAATATACCCTATAGGAGAATACACTTACAGAGAATATACCCTAGAGAGAATATACCCTATAGGAGAATATACTCTAGAGAGAATATACCCCTATAGGAGAATATACCCTATAGGAGAATATACCCTATAGGAGAATATACCTCTAGAGAATATACCCTATAGGAGAATATACCTAGAGGAGAATATACCCTAGAGGAGAATATACCCTAGAGGAGAATATACCCTAGAGGAGAATATACCCTATAGGAGAATATACCCTATAGGAGAATATACCCTAGAGGAGAATATACCCTAGAGAATATACCCTAGAGGAGAATATACCCTAGAGGAGAATATACCCTAGAGGAGAATATACCCTAGAGGAGAATATACCTATAGGAGAATATACCTCTAGAGGAGAATATGCCTATAGGAGAATATACCCTAGAGGAGAATATACCCTAGAGGAGAATATACCTTAGAGGAGAATATACCCTAGAGGAGAATATACCCAGAGGAGAATATACCTATAGGAGAATATACCCTATAGAGGAATATATACTTAGAGGAGAATATACCCTATAGGAGAATACCTATAGGAGAATATACCCTAGAGGAGAATACTTAGAGGAGAATATAACCTATAGAGAATATACCTAAGAGGAGAATATCCCTATAGGAGAATATACCCTAGAGGAGAATATATACCCTAGAGGAGAATATACCCTAGGAGAATATACCCTATAGGAGAATATACCTAGAGGAGAATATACCTAGAGGAGAATATAATCTATAGAGAATATACCCTATAGGAGAATATACCCTATAGGAGAATATACCCTAGAGGAGAATATACCCTATAGAGAATATACCCTAGAGGAGAATATAATTCTAGAGGAATATACCCTAGAGGAGAATATACCCTAGAGGAGAATATACCCTAGAGGAGAATATACCTATAGGAGAATATACCCTAGAGGAGAATATACCTTAGAGGAGAATATACTTAGAGGAGAATATAACCTATAGGAGAATATACCCTAGAGGAGAATATACCTAGAGGAGAATATACCTCATAGGAGAATATACCCTATAGGAGAATATACCCTAGAGGAGAATATACCCTATAGGAGAATATACCCTAGAGGAGAATATACCCTATAGAGAATATACCCTATAGAGAATATACCCTATAGGAGAATATACCCTAGAGAAGAATATACCCTAGAGGAGAATATACCCTAGGAGAATATACCCTAGAGGAGAATATATACCTATAGAGAATATACCTTATAGAGAATATACCTATAGGAGAATATACCCTAGAGGAGAATATAACTTATAGGAGAATATACCCTATAGGAGAATATACCCCTATAGGAGAATATACCTAGAGGAGAATATACCTAGAGGAGAATATACCTAGAGGAGAATATACCCTATAGGAGAATATAATTCTATAGAGAATATACCCTATAGGAGAATATACCCTATAGGAGAATATCTCTGAGAATATAATCCTATAGAATATAATCTTAGAGGAGAATATACTCTATATAATCTTTAGAATATAACTTAGAGGAGAATATAATACATAATTTAGAGAATATACCCTAGAGGAGAATATACCCTATGGAGAATATAATCTTATAGAGAATATACCTATAGGAGGATATACCCTATTGGAGAATATAACCTATAGAGAATATACCAATTGAGAACATATAATTATATAAGAATATACCATATTATAGAGATATAATTTATTGAGAATATACCTATAGGAGAATATACCCATTGGAGAATATACCTAGAGGAGAATATACCCTAGAGGAGAATATACCTATAGAGAATATAACCCTATAGGAGATATACCTCTTGTGAGAATATACCTCAGGAGAATATAATTCAATGGAGAATAATTATAGAGATATACCTCATTGGGAGAATATAATCAAGAGATATATCCGTCTCATACCACTATAACACTTAAGCTACAGGGTATAACTATGAGGTATACTGTGGGTATACTGTATAGACGTATGGGTATAGTTGTGTATGTGTGTATAGACGTGGGAGTTTATACCTATAAATACCTATAGTTTGGTTAGTGAGTTAGAGGTATTTACCGAGTTACAGGTATATATACTGAGAGAGAGAGAGAGAGAGAGAGAACTGATGTAAGTCAGGTATACATGATACGTACATACATGTAGTCAGGTATACATGATAATTACACACATGTAATCAGGTATACATAATACATACACACATGTAGTCAGGTATACATGATATATACACACATGTAGTCAGGTATACATAATACATACACACATGTAGTCAGGTATACATGATATAATACACACATGTAGTCAGGTATACATGATATATACACACATGTAGTCAGGTATACATGATAGATACACACATGTAAGTCAGGTGTATAATCAGAGTTACGAGTATGTACAATAAAAGAATTATCTACACTTGTACAGAATAATTAGTTTATGGAACAAATGGAACAACACGAAACAATAACAAAAAATTAAATGGAACCACAAAATTATAATAAACACAAAAAAACAAAATAAATAAACAAAAACAACAGCAACAACAACACCTAACAACCAATTACTATCACCGTGGACCAAACTACTCTCCTCTAACGACCAACCTCGACACACAAGTTGAACCATAAAGCGAACAAATAAAAAATAAAATAAAAAGCAAAACAACAAAAAATATCTCCCTTTATTGTTCACACCTGACAAACAAACACAAACAAACAAACAGAGAAATATCGGTGTACCAGGTAGTTAAGGTCAACACCGTTCCCGCTCATTGGCTGTCGCTCACCTACCGATCGTTTCGCCTCAGCCAATCACGGCAAAGCGGTAATATTAGGCTATTTGGATAATTTCCATCGGGCTAATTCGCAAAACTGGGAGGGAGGGGAGGGAGGAGGGAGGGAGGGAGGGAGGGAGGAGGGAGGAGGGAGGAGGGAGTGTGGAGTTGGAGGAGGGAAAGAGGGAGGAGGGGGTGGGGTGGGTGTGGGGGAGGTGAGGAGAGAGAGAGAGAGAGAGAGAGTCATTGAGGTATCTGGACACGTCGCCCTCAGCCTGTCGTGACCTGCCTACCTACCACCATCTACCACCACCACTATCACCATCTACCACCACCATTACCACAATCTGCCACCACTACCACATCTACCACCATCTGCCACCACTACCACCATCTGCCACCACTACCACCATCTGCTACCACTACCACCATTGGGACATAAATCTCGAGGCCAATACAAATGTTACAACACAACAGATATTACGTAACACTTTCCCGCGTTACGTAAGAGAGAGAGAGAGAGAGAGAGAGAGAGACTCACATCAACGAACGAATCAAAGGAATTTTTTTTACCCTTGAGAGGAAAAATTAAAGACAAACACGACGCAGAGAAGTAAATTATCTTTAAAAGCGAGAGAGAGAGAGAGAGAGAGAGAGAGAGAGAGAGAGAGAGAGAGAGAGTTTCCACAGCCTGATGATGAAAGTTATTGCAAGGGCCGGAGATTGATGATGCAACATAGATCTGTTGCAAGAAGCTTTAATACGGTGCTGCTGCCTCCAAGAAGCTTAAATACGGTGCTGCTGTCCTCAAGAAGCTTAAATACGGTGCTGCTGTTCCAAGAAGCTTAAATATGGTGCTGCTGCCTCCAAGAAGCTTAAATACGGTGCTGCTGTCTCCAGAAGCTTTTACGGTGTTGTTGCCTCCATGAAGCTTTAATACGGTGCCGCTGCCCTCAAGAAGCTTTGAATTAGTGCCGCTGCCTCCAAAACTTTAAAATCGTGTTGCTATCTCCAAGAAGCTTAATTTCGCTACTGCTTCCTCCACCAAGCTTTAATTCGAAGCTTTTATGTCCAAGGAAGCTTAAAAAAAGTGCTTCTACCTCCAAAGAAGCTTGAAATGATACTGCTGCCTACAAAGCATTACTTAAACAAAGGAATAAAAATAAGAAGACAGGAATAAGAAAAAGAGGATAAAGAGAATGGAAACAGAGAAAAGGGAGAAGAATAGGAAGAAACAGAGGAATAATACATAAGAAGATAAAGAAAGGAATGGAGGAGAAATGAAAAAAAATCCTCCCAGAAACCCGTAAATAAACAGAAATAGACAACAGAGAAATGAAAACCCGTAAATAAACAGAAATAAAAACCCATAAATAAACAGAAATAAACAAACAACAAATGAAAACCCGTAAATAGAGACAACAGAGAAATGAAAACCCGTAAATAAACAGAGACAAACAACAGAGAAGTGAACGGTAGAGAGAACACTAGAGAAAATGGTCTCTCTGTTGATTGCCAGACGGTTCGTGAGGGAAAATGTTATATACAGTTAGCGTATTACGTACAACCCACGCGTACGAGGGTATACTGCGCGCTGATTGGTCCTGCTGGCCTTTCTAGTCTCATATGACGTCATTCTCTCTCTCTCTCTCTCTCTCTCTTTTCTTGATTGTTTTTTTTGATGAGTTTTTGTCTCGTGGTATTTTCACATTTGGAAGAGCAGGTTGATTTAATCTGATAGAAAAGCACCTCGGAGAAAGAGTCTGCCATAGCCTCCCTTGTGTGTGTGAGAGAGACTCCCCTTAGTGTTGACAAAGACACTACCCCTGAAACGAGCAGCTGTGAGCCCTTATTTTAATCCTCTCCACTGTAATATTATCAGTGCCAACATAAGGAAAGAGGACTATGGTTACAGCTTACCTTCCCTCTGCCTTCATACTAATTCATTTTCTCCTTTCACTCACTTTCCCCTACTTTCTCTCACCTTCTCCCACTTTCTCTCACTCTCTCCCAATTTCTCTCTCTCTCCTTTCTCTCCCTCTCTCCTTTCATTTACTGTCCCCTACTTTCTCTCACCTTCTCCCACTTTCTCTCACTCTCTCCCAATTTCTCTCACTCTCTTCCACTTTCTCTTATCCCTTCGTATATTCTTCCTATTTCTCCTTTCTCCCATTTTCTTAATTTCTCTTCTATTTTATCCTTCATTTTTTTATCTCCTCCTTTATTTTCCTTCGCTCTCTCACTCTCTCACTTATCTCTATATCTTTATTGCATATTCCTTATTCCTTGATTCATTCTATCTATCTATCTTCCTCACCTTTCATTCTCTTCCTTCTTCCCCTTCCTCACCTTCCCTTCCTCCTTTTCTCTTCTTTTATTACCACTTCCTTTTCCTCACCTCCTTATCTCTTCCTACCTCCCCACCTCTCCTCCTCCTCTTCCTTATCCTCCTCCTACCTCTCCCCCCCCTCTCCTTCACCCCCACCTCTCCCACCTCCCCACCTCTCCTTCCCCCCCCACCTCTCCTCCCTCCCCACCTCCACCCCACCTCTCCTACCTCCCCCCACCTCCTCCTCTTCTTCCTTCCCATCCTCCTCCTACCTCTCTCCCCCTCTCCTTCCCCCACCTCTCCTACCTCCCCACCTCTCCTTCCACCCCCCACCTCCTCTACCCCCCTCTCCCTACCTCCCCCACCTCTCCCCTCCTCTCTTCCTTATCTCCCCCTACCTCTACCCCCACCTCTCCTTCCTCCCCCACCTCTCTACCTCCACCTCTCCTTCCCACCCCCCCACCTCTCCCCTACCCCCCACCTCTCCTCCCCCCACCTCTTCCTTCCTCCCCCCACCTCCTCCCCTACCTCCCCACCTCTCCTTCCTCCCCCACCTCTCCTTCCTCCCCCCCCCACCTCCTTCACCCCCCACCTCTCCTACCTCCCCTCTCCTTCCTCCCCCCACCTCTCCCTACCTCCCCTCTCCTACCTCCCCACCTCCTTCTCCCCCACCTCTCCTTCCACCCCCCCACCTCTCCCTACCTCCCCCCCCTCCTACCTCCCCCCCTCTCCCTTCCACCCCCCCTCTCCCCCCACCTCTCCCCACCCCTACCTCTCCTACCCCCACCTCTCCTACCCTCCTCTCCTACCCCCCCACCTCTCCTTCCCCCCACCCTCTCCTTCCTCCCCCACCTCTCACCTCCCCCCCCACCTCCTCCCTCTTCTTCCTTATCCTCCTCCCTACCTCTCCCCACCCCCCACCTCCCTACCCCACCTCTCCCTACCCCCCCACCTTTCTACCCCTCCCACCTCTCCCCTACCCCCACCTCTCCTTCCCCACCTCTCCTTCCTCCCCCACCTCTCCTACCTCCCCACCTCTCCTTCCTCCCCACCTCTCCTTCCTCCCCCACCTCTCCTACCTCCCCCTCCCTCCTTCCTCCTCCCCCCACCCTCCTCCACCCCACCTCTCCTACCTCCCCCCCCTCTCCTTCTTCCCCCCACCTCTCCTTCTCCCCCACCTCTTCCTCCCCACCTCTCCCTTCCCACCCCCCACCTCTCCCCCACTCCCCACCCCTCTCCTTCCTCCCCCACCTCTCTCCTTCCTCCTCACCCCTCCCCACCTCTCCTTCCCTCCCCACCTCTCCTTCACCCCCACCTCTCCCCTACCCCCCCCTCTCCCTACCTCCCCCCCACCTCCTCCCTCCTCTTCCTTATCCTCCTCCCACCTCTCCTACCCCCCACCTCCCTACCTCCCCCCCTCTCTACCCCCCCCTCCCCACCCCACCACCTCTCCCTCCCCCTCACCTCCCCCCTCCTCCCACCTCCTTCCACCCCCACCTCTCCCACCTCCCCCACCTCCTCCCACCTCCCCCCACCTCCTACCCCCCCATGTACACAGTCCCCTAACCTTAGCACCAATGGAAACAAAGCAAGTCTGTATAATCTTCCATCATCCTTAAAACTGTGGTGGGTGTGGTGCCTCTCTCTCTCTCTCTCTCTCTCTCCTCTCTCTCTCTCTCTCTCTCTTTTAATTCTTTTCTCTTCTTTCTTCCTCTCACTTTAATTCTCTCTCTTCTTTCTCCCTCTCCAATTTAATTTTCTCTCTTTCTTCCTCTCTCTCTCTCTCTCTACTTTAATTCTATCTTGTTTCTCTCTCTCACTTTATCTCTCATTTCTTTCTCTCTCAGTTTAAATCTCTCTTCTTTTTTTCTTACCTTAATTCTCTCTCGGTTTATCTCTCTCTCTTTTCTCAGTTATCTATCGGTTTCTTTATTTCTTTCTCCCACTGAGGCTCTGTCTACCTCTCTCGCGCATGGAGGTTCTGACTGCCTCTGTCTCTCACACAGTGGGTCTCTCTGTCTCTCACACAGTGGGTCTCTGTCTCTCACACAGTGGGTCTTCTCTGTCTCTCACACAGTGGGGTCCTTGTCTCCACACAGTGGGGTCTCTCTCTGTCTCTCACACAGTGGGTCTCTGTCTCACACAGTGGGTCTCTCTGTCTCTCACACAGTGGGGTCTCTGTCTCACACAGTGGGTCTCTGTCTCTCACACAGTGGGTCTCTCTGTCTCACAGTGGGGGTCTCTGTCTCTCACACAGTCTTCTGTCTCACACAGTGGGTCTCTCTCTGTCTCTCACACAGTGGGTCTCTCTGTCTCACACAGTGGGTCTCTCTGTCTCTACACAGTGGGTCTCTGTCTCTCACACAGTGGGTCTCTGTTCTCTCACACAGTGGGTCTCTCTGTCTCTCACACAGTGGGTCTCTGTTCTCACACAGTGGGTCTCTGTCTCTCACACAGTGGGTCTCTGTCTCACACAGTGGGGTCTCTCTGTCTCTCACACAGTGGGTCTCTGTCTCTCACAGTGGGTCTCTGCTCTCACACAGTGGGTCCTCTGTCTCTCTCACACAGTGGGTCTCTCTCTGTCTCACACAGTGGGTCTCTGTCTCTCACACAGTGGGTCTCTGTCTCTCACACAGGGTCTCTCTGTCTCTCACACAGGGTCTCTGTCTCCACACAGTGGGTCTCTGTCTTCACACAGTGGGTCTCTGTCTCACACAGTGGGGTCTCTGTCTCTCACACAGTGGGTCTCTGTCTCTCACACAGTGGGTCTCTGTCTCTCACACAGGGTCTCTGTCTCTGTCTCTCACACAGTGGGTCTTTCTGTCTCTCTCAGTCGTTCCACAAGTAGACAGTAACTCAGAGGCGGTGGTCACCCGTCACCCACATGACCCTCGTGTTCTGCCAGGCGATGGTTCTGCCAGTGCCGCCAACTCCCACAACCACAGTGCCAGTGCGGGCAGAAGCCAGGCGATGGTTCGTCGTTTTCACTACACTCACACTCACTGCTCCTACTTTGTCAACAAATAACTCTTTGCCGAGAGCTTCGCCAGTCGTACGTCTTCGCTTTTTGCCACCACTGGAAGAGAAGGGCGGGGAAATTGAGGAAGTTGAGTGGAGAGTGCGAGCTGACGATGGCAGTGCTGACGGCGACACTGCTGACGGCGGCACTGCTGACGATGAGTTGGCTGAGGACACCACCTTGCGTCACCTGAAAACACTTTGCTTCACCTTAAAACACTTTGCTTCACCTTAAAACACTTTTGTCACCTTAAAAAACTTTGCTTCACCTTAAAACACTTTACTTCACCTTAAAACACCTTGCGTCACCTTAAAACACTTTGCGTCACATTAAAACACTTTGCTTCACCTTAAAACACTTTGCTTCACCTTAAAACACTTTACGTCACCTTAAAACACTTTGCTTCACTTTAAAATTATATTACACCTCCTTAAATTTCCTCACACCTCGTCAAGAACATTATGTTGTGGGTCATTCTGGTTAAAAGTCTTAAATCGTTTAATTACAGAGGGAGTGTCAGGTGATCTCTCTCTCTCTCTCTCTCTCTCTCTAACTATTGCTCTGCACCACAACAGTTAATACAAAAAAAAAATTAACACATTAGTCTAAAATACGACGTAAAACAAACACATTAAACATACGCATTAAAACGAACACATTAAACAAACACCATTCAAATAAAAACACAAACAAACGAACGAAATAGGACATAAACACAAGAGCTTCCGGATGACAACATAAACTAAGGAAGGGGCAAGGGGGGGCGGGGCGGGAGGGGCGGGGGGCGTATCTGGTTCCGTCCGAATGTTTGTACATAAATTTATATGTAAAGTAGAGGATAGAGCGAGGATGTATACATGGCGGCCCTGCTCAACTCTCCCCCCCCTCCTCCTCCCGTCCCTCCCTGTTTTAGTTAGTCAATTCTTCCTCGGTGTAGAATGATGAGATAATACCCTCTGGTCAGCCATTGTTTACATGGTCATTCTTCACCGAGTTATCATTCTTTCTATCTGTAGAATGATTACTTGATCATTCTTCCCGTCATGATTCTTCTTTGCTGTAGAATGATTAATAGAAAATATTATTATCTTCTAAGTCATTCATTCCAATATCATTCTTCTTTCCATTATTCAAATTTGATATCATTCTTTCTTGTTATAGAATGGTTATTTTATCATGACCATCTCTCTTTATTATCTTTATTCTTTGTTTTCCCTCTCTTATCTCCCCCTCTCTCCATTTCTTTTATCCCCTCTCTTTTTCAGTTTATTTTCATGCATTCTATCTTTAGTTTTTTCTCGTTTACAGTCCCTCTCTCTCTCTCTCTCTCTCTCTCTCTCTCTCTCAGGCAATCTTCATATATTGCACTTCTAACCAATAAGCAATAAAGTGTTCGCATTTTCGACCAATAAACTTCAAGTTACACGTTTATTCGACCAATACGCTTTAAGTTTCAATGTGTTTACATCTTCGACCAATCAGCTTCAAGTTACCTGTTTATCCGACCAATACGCTTTAAGGTTTTGTGTGTGTGTGTTTTTTATTTTACACCTTCGACCAATCAGCTTCAAGGACTTTTATACCCTCGT